GTTAAAATTGTTTGTAGATGTGTTGTCCAGAGTGTAGTACCATCTTTACACACCATCGAAATGTGTTATTGTTGACACGCAAGCATCCGGTATAATCGGAAGATAAACATCATTTATAGGAGGTATTGATCTCTGTGATGGTCGCTATGACACCCTGACCATCGTCTCTTTCGTGATGTCACACTGTGTTCAGGGTGATTTCCATAATCCTTCATATTCTGTGAGTGGCTTTCTTGCCAATATTAAAAATTTGGTTTAACTTCAGCATTTCTTTGTACAGCATACTATTTCCATGTGAGCATAATTTTTGCGATCCATTATATTACTTGTTGGCTAGTACTCTGACTTGTGATTTCTTCTAATAGAACAAAGACACCCTCACCCACACACACACGCACCCACTCTTAAGAATTTTTTATTGCCATGCTGTTTGAATCATTGTCGTGCTGAATTTTCAGATCATCTACTTCTTTTCAGGCATGTATCTAGTTATTTGTGAAGATTAACTTTGTTCTCATTAAATGTCGTTGGCCTCAGTCTGAAAATAAATAATCTCATTTATAAAAAATCACTATAATATTGTTGATACTGGACCATGCATTCTATTTAGCTCAAATCAACTGTATAGGATTATACTTTCAAACGTCCTTATGTGCAAGTAGTTCTAGTGCTATTGTTTTCTTGCTCTCTCTTCTTGGTTTTACAATTCTTTTGGTGTCAGGCTCAAATCAAGGCTCCAAGACAGCCAGGCATGATTGGCACGCAGAATTGAAGGGCCAGCTGCATATGATGTTCTTACAAACTTTGAGCAGTGTTGGAGGCAAGGAACTCCGCACACAAAATCCACTACTCAAAACCTTAAAAAGGTTTCGATTTGCAAGATGGTTTCTGCTTAAGATAGAGCGCATCCCAGCGATAACAAGTCTTCCCTATTGGTTCAAGTAATGGAACCACACTGTTCCACAGGATGACGACGTAGTACAGGTTTGGAGGAAGAAAATCCTGAAACCTGGCAGTTCAGGTATACACTGCAAATTATATTGAATGAAATTTTATTCTTTGGTCTGTTTATTTTTATTTTCTTAATTTTAGTGAATTTTTTCTTTTTTACAGATTTTGCGGTCCATTGACCAGGATCAGTGGAAGGATTTCTAAGGATGTTGATAAGGCTGAGAACCAGGTTTGTGTGTCAACTAACTTTACTCTTTAATACTTAGAAAATCCTATCTCTGTATCCATAGAGGTAATATTCAAGGTCGTGACCGGTACTTGATATAACTGACAATTTAATCTCTTTCATTCATCTGTTGCTAATCCAGTTCTGAATGAATTCTTCTCTTGCAGAACCTTATTCGTGCAAAAGACTCGGTAATAGATAAGAGCATTCAAAGAGCAACATTCAAGTCATCAGATGCTCAGCGTTTCATATATATGAAAATCAGATTTTTATTGGATCATCTTATGCATGGCCATGTATAAAAGATGCAGGTAAAATCTGATCGATCTTTTCTGTTTGTACAATATTTTCTTCTTATCAAGAAGTCTTACACACAAAGTTTTGTGATACAAGGAACACACAAAATGAAGTATTTAATTGCAAAATTTTCTTAGGATCTTGAAAGTTGTGTTCAGGAGCTAATATAGAAATTTCAAACGCCATCGTTTCTCTGTAACATTTCAGTTATAGATTATTGAATCTAAACCATTATATGTTTTCTATTCCCCTAAATTTTTCTGAAGTCATTCTGTTCTGTATGAGCGGAGCTGATAACCTTTCCTATGGAGTTGGCACAAAGATTGCCAGTAAAATCAGAGCTAATGAGAGATTTGCAGTGTATGTTATACCCGATGTGGCCTGAGGGTGATCCAAATTTTCGCGTGTGCAAGAAATTCTGTTTTGGCAGGTTTTATTCTGTATATTGTCCCAAAACTTATGAACTGGAATTGTTACTTGCATAAAAATTAAATATCAAATTGATTCATATTCTTGTTTCACCGACCCTGTTCATTAGCATCTTCAAAATGTATTATCTTGTATTGCTTCGAAACAATAATGTGTTGTTCTTTTTTAATTATTGGTTCGGAGTTTAAGGGCTCATCTGTCTTTGTCATGCCAGATAAATATGATCTTGGTTCATAAATTGGCCTGATTTAGTTGGTTCTTCACTTGGGTTTAGAATGGTGACTAACTGTGGCTTTTGAAAAACACAATGGGAAGTCTGGTAACATTTTTTTCAAACACTATGTCTTCTTTAGCAATTCAATTGGTATAGTCTTTTATGTTGTTGCTATCCAATTGGATTCTATAATTAAGTTTACTTAACTTTATACTTGGGAAATAGGATGAGCACTTGCAATTTAATACTTCATCATTCTAGTTTCTCTCAGTTTTGACATTTTTGTAAAAAATGTATATTAAAAAACAATGCAGAATTATTTTGTCAATTACTACTTCACTTATTTGCACTTTGCAGAGCCAGACAATGCAGATGATGTATAGTTGTCGCCAGGCACTGAAAGATATGCAGAGGAATGCACATCCACAAGATTACCTCAATTTTATTGCCTCGGTAAACGGGAAGCAAACCATATGTGTCAACCAGTAGTGGTGAAGGTATTACTGGAAGAGACCTTTTGTGCTTTTTAAGCTACTGTAATGCACTTCGTTTTGGACTAAATTATTTGTTTTGTTGTTAATTATTGTGGCAAATAATTTTGTTGTTCTTAACATAAGATCTCTATTAGCTATTTCTTTTCTCTCTTGAAAAAGTCACGAGCATTATTGCGATCCTAGACTTCATGAGTAGTTAATTTGTGAACTTTCCTGTCTAATTGCTGGTTTTGATTTCCAGTTGACTTGTTGTGTCAAATGTTTTATGGTGATATATGACATGGTACATAACATATATAAATCTTTAACTTTTAAAGTTATTTTCTGATGGAAGCATGACATTTTTGAAATACGAGCTCTATTAATCATTCGTGTATCAGGTCTTGATATGTAATAAGTTTTCTAAGGGAGCAGGACATATTTTTAAATTATAGTTACTAATTAAGTTTATCAGGTATCTGAATCACAAAAACATCAGCGGTTTATGGTATATGTCATGCTAAGGGAATGATAGTAGATGATGATATGTGATAGTGGGATCTGCCAACATTAATGAAAGATCAATGGCTGGGAGTAAAGACACTGAAATAGCCAGGGTGCATATCAGCCGCATCATGCTTGGGCGAAAAACAAGAGGCATCCGCATGGTCAGGTCTGTTACTTTGGTATCTCATCCCTAACTCTTCTTGAAAGACCATGATCAAAAGATTTGACCAACTTCATATGGAATGCATTTATTATTATGAATTCTCTTCAATACCTTAATTCAGTGATTGATTAGCAATTACAGGGATTTGTATTTATTGTTTGTCTATTTACATTTACAAAAATGTATAAATTAGCTATTGTACATGTTGCAATGTATTGAAAATATACATTGAAATTCTTCTCTTCTATTTTCTTTTTCTTTGGCATACTCTGACAGTATCATTGTCTTGAACTGCTTCTCTTTCTCGATTCCTTACAGATTTTATCACCCAGATTTTCTTTTCTGTTTGCTTTTGGCTTGAACAAAGCAAGTTGACATCCTGTAGTTCTTTTAAGATTTTCAAAATCAGCTTTGTTTGCAATTGTTGCTGGGTGGTATGATTGCTGTAGCATAAGCATCCCATAGCATAAAATTAGTTTTGGCTTGATGAAAGTATGATAGTACCCTATATCTATGTTTTAACTTTCCAAATGCGTATTTTGACTTCCAATCATAACCCCTCAAACTTTAGTCTGACTAAGATTGTATTCTAAGACTTCGATAATTCCTAAACATTCTGTAATTGTAAAGCTGTCGTTGTGTGATATATACGAACATTAGTGACCAGCATGTGCCTTGTGCAGATCTATGGATATAGGAAGTCACTTTGGGCAGAGCATCTGGTAGCAGAGGCTTGTTCGAGAAGCCTGAAAGTAGTGGAATTGTAACGACAGTAAACAAGATCGCTGGAGACAACTGGGCCAAGTTCACCACTGAGAATTTCACGCGACTCCGTGGCTACCTTCTAAAATATCCCCTTAAGGTAGAGGCTGATGGGAAAATAAGCCCCCAACCCGGACACGAGAGATTTCCAGATACAGGTGGTACAGTCATGGAAGGCGTTCCAGTTTTGAAAGATATTTTGACCGCATAATTCTGTGGAGTTGTCGACTACTTCAGCATTAATGGGTAACGGAAACGCACTCGGGGCTTCTTGCTAATGCAATTGATGCATTTTTCAATCAAGAAGGAAACATTTCGTTTTCAAAGGATTCAAATTATCAGATACACAGGGAACAAATTTGCATCTTGATGCAGTGAGCACCTTCACAGAGGGAATCTGTTGCTTAATAACAATTTACAGGTTATATGACTGGTGTAACAGGCCCGTGAAATTTACTTCAGATAGGAACCTCATTACCTGCATATGAAATCATCAATGTTATTAACATTGGCTCTAGAAGGGTGGTACTGGTCTAATTATTCTGGTCTATCAGTTGTGCCTCCAGAAGAACTTTATAGAAGCCACTGATCGGTCCGATGCAAGTCAACAGCTTTATGGTGTAATCTGGCCGGCCAGACTACAGAGACGCCTCGAGGATGGGTTTTCGCAAACAACGGAAAGCATTTGAAAATTTGTGTTCAAACCGAAACTAGTATACTGACATTATCTCACAAGTGAAGGGCACTGATCAGTTCACTGGGTTCTGCATTGATGTATTTAAAACTGCTTCAGACTTTTACCTTATTCTATCCGTATCAACTATCCCATACACAGATACCCAACATAAACACAAAGCTGCTGATCTTCTTCGCTTAATCCCGGGGTGTAAGTGTGAAATATAAAAACTTCACCCAAACTTTGCCAAAATGTTTACTTTTCTTGCTGATTTTTGTTTCTCTTGTCCCCTACAGGTTTGTGATGCTGCAGTAGGTGATTTACTATCACCCCTGATAGAATAAGATGGTGGACTTTACCCAACCATACATGGAATCCGGGCTAGTTGTAGTGGCCCCAATCAAGAAGCTAGACTCTAATGTTGGGTCTTTCTGGACCATTTTCTCCATTGTTGTGGTGTGTCACAGGATTTTTTTCATTATGTAGGAGCAATTGTTTGGCTTTTGGAACATCGGTCCAATGATGATTTTCGTGCCTCCTAAGAGACAAATTAATACCATTCTGTGGTAAGTGCCAAAGAATATCAAATTCATTCTATTATAGCTTACTATTTGTGTCAATAAATATTATGCCCAAGAAGCTCCCATAGATGGGACTGTTCAATCATTTCACTCATCAAGACCATATCTATACATTACATCTTTGTGGATCCCCTTATAGCTAAGATCTTTGCTTTGCTCTGCAGGTTCACCTTTTCAACATTGTTCTTTTCCCATGGCAAGTGAAATGAATTATTATATATTACTTGTTTAAGTTAGGTGATTACGGCAATCCTATCAACCAACCATATGCTTCTGTTCTGTTTCACGCAGGAGAAAAAACTGTGAGCTGCATGGGTCGGTTGTGCTGATTATTTGGCTATTTTTTGTTCTAATATGATTCAAGCTACACTGCAAATCGACCTCAATCTTACTGTAGAACAGCTTTCTTCACCCATTAAAGATATCCAAAGTTTATAGTAAGCAATGAACCCTTGGCGTGAGCGTGGTTCATTTGCTGAAACTTATTTAACTGACCACTTCAGATAGACAGATCCAGACTGGTTCTCTCAACTCGGTAGAGAATATGAAAAGGCCTTAACTGATGGTCCACAAAAGGGGTGGTGTTGCTGCAGTTGTTGACGAAAGTGCATATATGAATGTCTTCCTCTAACACGCTGCCAATTTGGTATCGTAGGCAAGAATCACCAGAAATGGGTGGGGATTGTAAGTATTTCTTCTTCAATGAGACTAATCCTTCGTCTGGATGCTATATTTTACAACAATTGCTTTCATGGCTCTTCCAGTCACATTTATACTTATGAAATTATATCTTTCATGGTTGGATAATCATTTTTTTGATTGTTACACAAGGCCTTTCCAAAGGCTCACCGCCGCAGTTGACATGTCAACCGCCATTCTTCATCTAGCAGAGAATGGAGATCTCCAAAAAATCCATGACAAATGGCTTCGAAAAGTGCTTGCAGTTCACAGGCACAAAACAAGAAGTAGACCAGCTCCAGCTCAGAAGCTTGGGGTCTCTTCGTTATGTTAGGTTCAGTATGTTTAATGCGTCATATTATATCTCATAAATTAGTGCGCCAGTTTGCTAGACGTTACTCTAACTTGGAAGAAGTTGAGTCTGCAGAAGGAAGAAAGTTATCACGTCTTCGGACATTTTATATTTTTGATGAAAAGGAAGGGGTATATAGAAGCCGCTCGATGGAGAGGGCCATCTGTAATCATGATACATATCTTTTAATAAGTCTTCCATGATCAAGACATGTCAAAATGCCTAATTATGCTGGTGCTCCTGCAATTGATATCTTAGCTGCGTATACATTGGAAAAATATATTGATTAATCAATCAACAAAAGGAAGGTGATATAGCTGCATTAAAATGAAGAGTACATCACCCGCCATGGAAGCATGATTTCAACTAAACATCTTGCATAACCATGATAAACAACTAAATGAAGTTTCTGACATTTTCTCTCAATGTGAACCAACAAATCAAAATTTGCAGCTAAGTTATAATTTACCCAAGTACATAGAACTAAGCAGATTGAAAACATGACCATCGATCATGTGCTAAATGTATAAACTGATGGATTCATATGCAAGTGTTTAAGCCCTGAACAAAAGCATACTCTTGGGAACACGCCAATACTCATGCCAAATCCAAATAATTTATTAAAGACTCTGATATTAGAGCAGAACATAGAGATGTGATTAAGTTATAACAAAATATGAATGGTTAGGTAAGATTGTCACATTGGTCCTCCAAAAGAGATATATGTCTGGGAATCTGGCAGGAAACAACTAGTCTAATAAAAATAATACACAATGAAAAAGCTTCTAGAATTTGTTTCTGCCGTGGGGACTGCAAATATATCCATCTCACACTGCAATACAGCTTTTATATGTTTCCTTTGTTTTATTGTGTAGGTAGTTGAGTTAAGGGCTATAGCTAGCAGAACACATCTACCTAGTAAACTTTTCATTGTTTTTATTTACCATTTTTTTTCATATATCTGTTGATTTCTTACTTGTGATCTTTGATAATTTTGATGTGTAGAGTATAAATCGGACATTTTCAGACAATTTCTGCTATTTATTTGGTTGTTTTGTCTTCTCAGTAGATAATATGAGATATTGGAGTTACGTAAAGTGATTAACTAGACAATTCACCACGACTAAAAGTTTGCTCGGTTTTAATAGTTTCTACAATTTGTTTTCAGAAGGGATTAATACAAAGTAATACAGTGCCTCTGTTGTAAATATTGGTGCTGTTTTCTCTTTCATTTACCATCAGCAAAGGTGTAAAAGTTGCCATGGAGCTGCTGTGGAGATGTGAATTCTAACCCAAGCTCATGCTAGAATCAAGTTTGAGGGGGCAGCAAACTCACTTGGATGAGGTTGAGTCTACAGGTGAAAGAATTTTTTTTACATTTGTTTGTGAGAAGAAAGGAGTTTTAAGTAGAAGCCACTCCAAGTCCATGTGAACATAAATGGAGAGGGCTTCTTCCATAAGCATAATTGAACATAATTCCAGCAAAACACGCTTACTCTTGATAGAGAAGCCTAATCGTTCCATTAGTAGCAAAAAGCATGATTTTGGAACTTGATCATATGATAACTGTTATATTTATATTTTATAAGTTTAGCAACAATTTATGAACGATAATCCCATCTTTTAAGGCTTAACAAATGAGAAATCCCCACTATCAGTTTTGGCAACTTTTGCTGATTGTTATATTTTCTTGGTTCATGATGATCATCACTAGAAACAAGTGGTGCAGGACCTTCTATTCTAATAACTCAGTCTCAGAATTATAATTGTAAGTACTCCTTGGAAACTAAGACACTTTCAGGTCCATGGCGAGTATTGGTTTGTATTTATGGAGGAACTGTAAGGGCGATGAGTCCATGGCTTGGGGTATTATTTTCTTCTCTTATGAAACTAGATGGAATGTCTATGCCTGTGGCCTTTGTCAACTTCTTCCTTTCCCTGGCAGCCTTTTGCCATTTCTTTAGAGCCATGGCTGTCTGCTCTTCAAAGATTGCCTTCTTCATGTGAGACCCCATCTGCAATTTTTTAACATAATGTACATTATGATTGTAACTATTTACAAACTTTGATTCCGAATTTGTGTATGAATTAAAGAAGTTACTTGAGTTACAAGGGCGTAGAGAGGGAAGGTGATATAGCTGCATAAAATCTGAAGAGCTACACCCAGGAACACCCTTATCAATACTTCCATCAGATTTTTATGGAAGCATGATTTCAACCCGAATTCATACTGCATTGATGAATAAAAACAATAAAATGAAATTTTCTCCGAGTTTTTCTCTCAATGCTGAACCAACAAATTAAATTTCTTCTACCAAGGATAGTGGTTAAGTTATTATTTTACCCATGTCCATAGAAAGTAAGCCATCTGGAACGCGTTTTGCTAATTGAAAACATGATCATCAGCTCATAATATGCTAGATGTATAAAAACCTGATGCATAATCTATGCAAGTTTTGGGTCCGTAGATCAAAAGCATAACAAGGCAAGAGAAGTACCTGGAACAAGGTGAAATGTAACAAGAAAAGAATCAAATCTGGGCAATTGAACCAGAAGAAGCTGTTACTAGGCTCTACAACAGGAGCTCCTTTTACAACTGTCCCTCGATCTTGGATCTGCTGAGCCATTTCCATGATTATAATTTCAAGCTTCGCGCCAACTATCAGAAATATCTGTTGCATGTATAATAGAATCCATTTAATTTTATATATAAATTGAACTGTTCTAGTAGTTCATAAGATAATATCCTCAGGTAAACAATTTAAAACTAGAAAGTTAAGAAATTCTTACAACTAGTGGTATGAATGATTCCCATGAAAGAGTATACCATCCTGCAGAATAAGTTAAGCAATTGTGTTAATGTCAATGAAAACTTTCACAATCAAAATTAACACATATTAAGAAAAGAAGCCCCACCATACACATTGAGAAGCTGGAAAACAATACAGCATGTCCATAATGGTAGGCTGTAAACAGAAATTCATGGTTAATTATTAAGTAAAAATTAATCAGAAATTCACTGTCAGAGAAAAAGAGAAGGATGGAGCACAACCTGATACCAACTACCACCTTGAAATCATCTTCCATTGATCTTTTGATATACTTGTGGAAGTTAAATTTGCTGTTGGGAGCCAAATGAGCCTGCAATATATATTTACATATTGGATATGCATTTATGTTTAGAACAAAAGCAAAAATAAAAGTGGAATAACTTACTTTTATGAATCCATGTCTCATGGTCAGATAATCCACCTTGGTTACAGAATAAAAGAACTGTCTGAAAAAAGCCACCTGTATACATGAATTACCTCATCTGGTTAGAGGGATCTAACTAGAACACCACAATGTCACAATGTATTTCATTCCAAATCAGGCTCAAAAATGGCTAAATTACTCTGATTCAACATTTTAGAATCCTACTAAAGGGAGTTTTAGAATGCATCTTACTATCCATCTCAGGCCAGGTGCTGTGAAGAATCCAGTGTGGCGTCGAACAAAGGAAGTTTGATGAGCCAATCTGAACCTTGAAGGATCTATAACACTAAACGTCATCAGCTTAATCATTGATGCACAAAATATATAAACCTCAAAATATTTTTATTAAGCCAAAAGGTTTAGGAAAATGCTAATTACCATTAGTGAACTGATATTCCAAGGATGATGTCTCCAGCTCCCATCCTTTCCATTTCTTCATCTGTGTGCATTACAAATTGGTTTTCCCTGTTTATGATCACTCAAGCTTTCCCAGCAGAATATTTATAAAATTATTCATGAAACTGACATACTTTAGCCTTTGCTAGACCGATGGTGAGAACACTGTAGAGAACAAGGAAGACAGCCAGCATAAATATGAAGATGTGCAATTGGTGAATCCCTGACTGGGAGACCAAAGGTACTTTTCCCTGAAATCAATAATTAACACAATTATTGAGTCATTGTCTATATGAACAGTATAATATGCAGTACTGTGAATTGATACTATATATATATTTACATGTTTGGTACAATAGTCCTCTTCTCCTCCTGCCGCAAGGATTCGATGCCGTATCACTTTCCCGGTGTGCCATAATAACTTTCTTCTATCATCTCCATCATTTCCACCATTGTTGTAGTCTTCCTTGTCCTTGGGCTCCTTACATGGAAGCATGGTGCTTCCAGCTTTTGCAGAGATACATATCTTTGAGACAGGTTTTGTGCCCACTGTAATGAGTAGAGATATGAAGCCTAGTAGCATCAATTCTGCATTACAAAACAAAAAACTGACTTCAATTTCTTGATCAATGCATAAATTGCTCATGCATTACAAACTTTACATTGAAATATAATGTCTGAATGAAAGAGACCAGCTTTAATTTTCTCTAGAGCCTCACTCATTGCCATGCTGTTTGAATCATGGTCTGTGAAGATTAACTTTGTTCTCATTATATGTGGTTGGCCTCAGTTTGAAAATAAATAATCACATTTATAAAAAGTCATTATAATATTGTTTGATACTGGACCATTGCATCTTATCTATCTCGATGTTGACAAGGTGGCCAAATCTAATTTTATAAAGATTCTTATTCTTAAGTTCAACCCAATAAATGGGATTCTCGAATACATCTGTAGGACTCATTAATATTGAAGTAGTAGACTCCAACAAAGGTGGCCATTGGAGACTTAACGCTACTATATATGTTTCCAGCCCATCATTCTTTTGTTGAACTCTCTCTATCTTTTATTCTTCTTCTTCTTCTTTTTCTCTTTTTTTCTCATTCCGGTGTACACTTCTCTTGTACTTCCCTCTCCGGTTTGTTTTTCTTAACTACTACTCTATTAAGTTCTTACTTTCTCTCTCTTTAGCACTTCCCTCTCCGGTTTGTTTTTCTTAACTACTACGCTATCTGGTTTTCTCACATTCCGGTTTCGTACATTTGCGGAACCTCACCGTTTCATCATGCCTACCGCCGAGGATGAACAAGTAGTCTATCTTCACGGTGATCTTGAGCTTAAGATCATCGAGGTTCGAAGGTTTCTGAATTCGGCCGCCGATAATGGCGATGGAAACCAGGAGCTCAATAACCTCCACCCCTGTAAGGTTATCTCCGGCGACTATTATGTTAGAGTGTTAGTGCCGCAATCTACTTTGGCGCGCACTCGTATCATTGACAAGAACTCTCAGAATTTATTCTGGAACGACCAGTTTTTTATTCCCTTGGCTCACCCTGTAACTGAACTCGAGTTTCAACTTAAAGCCAAGACTTTCCTTCAGTCCAAAGTTATTGGGAAGGCTAAAATTCCCGCGAAAAGAATCGCCACCGGCAAGTATATCTCGGGATGGTTCCGAATCGAACCATCCAGCTGTATTAGGACAGTCAAAGCCTTGCGACTGGAGATGAAATTCACGCCGTGTGAAACAAATCCAATATACCGCAATGGCATTGCCGGTGATCCTGAGCTAGGAGGAGTTCGAAACACGTATTTTCCGTTACGAAAGGGAAATCAAGTGACGCTGTACCAAGACGCTCACGTGAGGGAGGAGTCCTTGCCTCACGTTAGGCTTGAGGGAGATCTGGTTTATAAGCCAGGCACGTGCTGGGAGGACATTTGCGAAGCCATTTTAGATGCTCGCGATCTGATCTACATTATGGGCTGGTCTGTGTTCGTGAAGATTAAGCTTGTTAGAGAGCCCACTCGGCCGTTGCCGAGTGGTGGTGATTTGACACTCGGTGAGTTGCTGAAGTATAAATCGCAGGAAGGTGTCAGAGTTCTGTTGTTGATTTGGGAGGATAAGACATCCCATGACAAGTTCGGAGTCAAAACGGTGAGTAGGGAAACCAACATTTTCAGCTTATTTTGTGAAGATACTAATATTAGGTTTTCTACTTTTGTTAACAAAATTTGGGTACTAATTTTACATGTTCTGAAATAATGAGAAAACAGTCTTCTTTAAAAGGTAGTTTCCATGTTCTATTGGTTATACATTTCACTGGCTGAAATGTGCAGGCAGGATTGATGGCAACTCACGGTAAAGAAACGAAGAGGTTTTTCAGGGATTCATCTGTGAATTGTGTGCTAGCACCACGTTATCTTGCTGGTAGCAAGCGTAACATGTTCAAAAGAAAGGCATGTTTTGTATCCCTATTTTTCATTTTAGTAAATTGATGTCTCTATTATAGTTAGCTCGTATGAATGTATGTTAATTAAATGTCGCAAAAATCACTTGACACTGAGTTGAAATAATAATTGTTGGATCTTTTTTGGTTCTCTTCTGTCATCGCTTGTTTTCTATAAGTTTTAGAATTAACGATGGGTTAAAATTGTTTGTATGATGATGTTATCCAGATTGCCGGTACCATCTTTACACACCATCGGAAATGTGTTATTGTTGACACGCAAGCATCCGGTAATAATCGGAAGATAACATCATTTATAGGAGGTATTGATCTCTGTGATGGTCGCTATGACACCCCTGAACATCGTCTCTTTCGTGATCTCAACACTGTGTTCAAGGATGATTTCCATAATCCTTCGTATCCTGTGAGTGGCTTTCTTGCCAATATTAAAAATTGTGGTTTAACTTCAGCATTTCTTTGTACAGCATACTATTTCCATGTGAGCATATATAATTTTTGCGATCCATTATATTACTTGTTGGCTAGTACTCTTAGACTTGTGTTACTTTTCTCAATATAACATCCTCACCCTCACCCCACACACACGCGCACCCACTCTTAAGAATTCTTTTATTGCCATGCTGTTTGAATCATATGGTCATGTGCTGAATTTTCAGATCATCTACTTCTTTTTCAGGCATGTATCTAGTTATCTGTGAAGATTAACTTTGTTCTCATTAAATGTTGTTGGCCTCAGTCTGAAAATAAATAATCACATTTATTAAAAATCATTATAATATTGTTTGATATTATATGCCCAAATTGTTTCCCTCGTTCTTACAAACCTTCTCTAGGTGCCCAAATTGTTTGCAACTCCTGCATTGTATCCTTGGTCTAAATCAGCACCTTCTCTCCGAATGTCCCTTCCTTTTACAGTGAGTGCAAGCTGGAAACTCCTTCACTCCACTTGACTTCTCCCACTTATTGTTACTCTTTTCTTTTCCTTTTTATCCCCAGCATACCTCCTATTTTGTCCTTGTGCAGGTTTGCCTTTTTGGTTTGCTATCATTGCTCTCTCACTTGTGTCTTCTTGCCTTATGAGTCTTCTTTGTTCTTGAGCTTGGAGAGCATGAACAAGCTCAGTCAAAGTAATCTGAGTTATGTCCTTGGAGTCCTCAAGGGAGGAGATATTGGACTCAAATCTCTTCGGCAAGCTCACCAAAACCTTTTCCACCACTCTTCTATCTGTCAACTCCACTCCCATCAGCCTTATTTTGTTGACAACACTCATTAGTCTGTCAACATTATCCTTAACTTTTTCTGATTCTTGCATCCTCTGCATCTCAAATTCTCTCCTTAGATTAAGCACCTGCATATATTCTTCTCTCAGCTTGTCCCATGCTTCCTTTGGAGTCTCATATGCCATGATCCTTGTGAATACAAGGTCAGTCACTACTCCATAAATGTGAGAGAGAGCTCTAGGTGCTTTGGCAGTTTCCTCTTCATGTATTCTGATCTGATTCAAAGTAGGATTTGGTCCCAAGGGTGCTGTCTGTCTATTCTCTTCCACATACTGCCACAGCCCCTGACCCCGGAGGAAGGCCTTCATTTTAACAGCCCATATATGGTAGTGTTCCCTATTGAACACCAATGGTGCCATCACAGCAGATTGAGTTGCCATGTCTCTAGTTTTTTGTGTCTGTCGTAGAGAGAAAAATGAGCTGATGCAGGCTGGTTTTTGCTGAAAAAGGAAGGTGTTCTTGAGTTGTGGTTAATGGTTGAATGCAAGAAACTTCATATTTTTGTGAGTGGCTCTAATACCATTTGATAGTTCTTGGTCGGAGAATACAAAAGAAAGATAAAGAGAACTCAAAGCATATATGCAAAAGTCTATGGTTTTCATTGAAGTTGATCAATATAAACATTAGCTTAACAACTCTCTACTGATTCAACAACTACAGCAAACATTACAAATTCAAATTTAAAAACTTAACAACTAATATTTCTTACACAATACACACAATAATACTGACTTAATTACACTTAAACCATTTAACTACAATACACTAAAAATTACAGCCATGCACGTTGGACCACTGCAGTAAACTATCTTCAATAGGCTTCAAAAACAATTCCAACTGAACCTGCAATGTTGATGCATTTCCAGCAAAGTATCACTGCATCAAAAACATTTATCATTATATTATTGTTTGATACTGGACCTTGCATTCTATTTAGCTCAAAATCAACTGTATAGGATTATACTTTCAAACGTCCTTCATGTGCAAGTAGTTCTAGTGCTATTGTTTTCTTGCTCTTTTTCTTCACTTGGTTTTACAATTCTTTTTGGTGTCAGGCTGGAATCAAGGCTCCAAGACAGCCATGGCATGATTTGCACTGCAGAATTGAAGGGCCAGCTGCATATGATGTTCTTATAAACTTTGAGCAGTGTTGGAGGCAAGCAACTCCGCGCGCAAAATCCACTCGAAACTTTAAAAAGGTTTCTCATTTGCAAGACGATTCTCTGCAAGATGATTCTCTGCTTAAGATAGAGCGCATCGCAGCGATATTAAGTCCTTCCGTATCTGTGTCAAGTGATGGAACCACACTAGTTCCACAGGATGGCGACGTAGTACAGGTTTCCAAGGAAGAAAATCCTGAAACCTGGAATGTTCAGGTCATACACTGCAAATATAATATTGAATGAAATTTTATTCTTTGGTTTGTTATTTTTATTTTCTTTAATTCTTAGTGAATTTTTTCTTTTTTACAGATTTTCCGGTCCATTGACTCAGGATCAGTGGAAGGATTTCTAAAGGATGTTAACAAGGCTGAGAATCAGGTTTGTGTATCAACTAACTTTGCTCTCTTAATACTTAGAAAATCCTATCTGTCATCCATAGAGGATAATATTCAAGGTCATGACCGGTACTTGATATTGACTTGACAATTTAATCTCTTTCAGTCATCTGTTGCTTAATCAGTTCTGAATGAATTCTTCTCTTGCAGAAGAACCTTATCTGTGCAAAAGACTCGGTAATAGACAAGAGCATTCAAATGGCATACATTCAAGCCATCAGATCTGCTCAGCGTTTCATATATATTGAAAATCAGTATTTTCTTGGATCATCTTATGCATGGCCATTGTATAAAGATGCAGGTTAAAATCTGATCGATCTTTTCTGTTTGTACAATATTTTCTTCTTATCAAGAAGTCTAACACCAAAAGTTTTGTAATAGAAGGAACACACAAATATGAAGTATTTAATTGCAAAATTTTCTTAG